CCGTGCGAGGGCGGAGCGCGCCGTCTTGCGCAGGCGCAGTGACGCCCACCGCCCTCCCTTTGTCGGCTGTGCGTGGAGGGCGAGGGTCGCGGACGCGGGAGGGGCGCTGCCAGCCCTGATCGTTCCTCCGGGTCTTCGGGGGTTGGGGGGCGGAGAGGTTCGCACGCACCCGCACCCGGCGCGGCGCCGCCCGGAGTTACCGGTCCCCGCCAGACAGACATTGCACACGGATAGCGGTCCCGGCAGGAAGGCGGCCTCGGGCCCGGTGGACCCGGCTCGGGCCCTGCGCCCCGGTGGGCAGGATAGCCACGCCCCGGAGTGATGGAGTGACGCGGGGACTTGGCCAGCCAGACTTTGGGTGACCTCCTTCCTCCGCATCAGTTTCAAGGTCATTGAGCAGGAGGGGAGTCCAGCCTTTCCTGGTCTCCTGGGCTGTGTCATCAGTGGGGCCCGAGCGACGGCTCACCTTTGTGCACTACTTTACAAGTCGCCAGGCTCGACATTTACTGTGGTTTGGAGCCTCGCCATGACTCGTGGGCTTCCTCCCCGACTGTAAGGATTTACAGGGAATGGGAGTGCTGAAGGGTGCACGGTGGGCTGGGTGCTCATTGGCTCCTGTTCCATTGGACGCACATGGTTGTGGAGTCTGCAGGCCACGCCTTTCATCCACAGCGCAAAAAAAAGATTCCTTCCTTGTTCTCTCTTCAAACATGGGTGTGAGCCTTGCTCCAGGAGCCGTGGAACTGCCCCCAGAGTATTGGAATCTTAAATGTAAAGGCATTTGCTAATCGTTTGGCGGAGGTGCTTGTCATAGAAACTGTTTCCTCCTGGAGATGGAGGTGAATCCACCCCTTTACCTTGAGCAATTCCCCCTTCTGCCCGAGGAGCCGGTGGGAGTGGAAGTGTTGGTGAGAGTTTGGATTAAGGGCCATGGGCAGCTGGGTTATTGCTTTTCCTTTTGTTCTTCCTCCTTAGGACCAGCTTTCTCCACGGGCTCTGCCATTCCCACCCCTGTGGCCCCCCTCCACGCCGGCCACTTCCCCCCTTTTCCGGTCTCCCGCACTCTCGTGCCCTCCTCCTGGGCTGCTTCCCCGAGCTCCCCCGTTACCTCTCCCTCAGGTCCCCGCCCTCAGCTCACCATGGGCGAGTCTCCCTCCAGGAAAGCGGGAGGAGGGACCAGGACCTGAGTTGCATAGTGGCTGTCTGGATGGGCTTCGGAGCCTATTTGAGGGACCTCCCTGCCCCTATGTTGGGGCTGTGCTATCTTTCCAAGCCCCTGTGACGGCCCGCCCTGCCCCGGCCACTCCCTCCGGAGACCCCAGTATGGAGGAGCACCTGGCCGTCATGTATGAGAGGCTGAGACTAGAGGTGAGTCCATTCAAAAGGGACCTTCGTCCACCTGGTGGAAGGCAGGGGCGTCTGGAAGTAGAGGGTTACAGACGTTTCCCAAGTAGAAGATAATCCTCGGGTTGGAGTAAGGGAAGTTACACATGGCATGGAAATGACCTTTCACTCAGGGAAGGAGGCACTAAAAATAGAAAACGGAGGAATGGGGCCATTGCTCCTTTCCCACTGCTGACGCCTTCTTCTTCCACCAGCTCCCCACTCTCTTCCTTCACTCCCATGACTATTCTCTCTACTCCTCGGATGTGGAGTTCATCAACGAGATCCTGCGCATCCGCACCAAGTGAGTCGTGCCAGGGAAGGTGCCAGGCTGCCGCTCTGCAGCCGCTTCCCTTCTCGTGCGGCTTGGTGTTGCGGTTCTGCATGAGGTGGCTTTCCCTCCCTTCTTCTCAGGGGCCGGACGTGGTACATCCTGTCGCTGACGCTCTGCCGCTTCCTGGCCTGGAACTATTTTGCACAAGTTCAGTTGGAGGTTCTGCAGTTGACCCGCCACCCTGAGAACTGGACCCTGCAGGCCCGCTGGCGGCTGGTGGGGCTGCCCATCCACACGCTCTTTCTGCGCTTCTACAAGCGTGACAAGGAAGAGCTTTACCGGTAAGGGGCTGAGGGCCCCCACGCCACCACCCTCTTCCCACACGCTCCGTTTCAGGACTGGTGGTCTGGTCTCCTGGATAGCCCTTCCTCTCCCTGCCTTCACCGAGCTTCCTTCAGGGCAGGGGTTTGGTTTAGTCTCCTTTACTGTAACAGAACGGGGACGGAGTACATGAGCAAACCTCTGCACTCAGCTTGTTCATGTGTATCACCTGGCACATAGGTAGGAACTCGAATACTTACTGAGCAAATGAAAACTCCCGCTTCGCAAGTTGAGCCTCACACTCTTAGGTAAAGTACTTGGCAAATTTCTGGCAAAGTGGGATCCCAAGCAATTGTTCGGCTTGCCCCACATCAGCAGCTTGTAGACTGCTGCACAGTGGGATCATCTTGGTGCCAGACACTCTGCTTTGTGACGGGGTGCAACGTGGGCATCAGGATTTTTCAAAGTCCCCAGGTGATGTAATACTAGCATGTAGCACAGTTAAGGGACTAGGAGTTTAAGCAAATGCTTGAATTAATCTTTGGGATCAGCCACCTTCCCCTTCAGCTTCTCTTCTTTCACCAGGACCTATGATGCCTATTCCACTTTCTACCTGAATTCCAGCGGCCTCATTTATCGCCATCGCCTAGACAAAGTGAGTCCCAGGGTGGATGGGGTGGGTGGAGGGGCAGCATCCCTGCTAATGCGGTAACTTCCTCCCGGCAGCTGATGCCCTCACACTCGCCCCCAGTGCCTGTGAAGAAGCTGCTTGTGGGAGCCCTGGTGATGCTGGGGCTGTCAGAGCAGGAACCCAACTTCCACCTGTGACCCAAGGCCTCCTCCAGGAACCGGGGCGGGCAGCACTGAAAACTACACACAGAGGTGGGGTTGGCCAGTTTCTTCCCGCTCCTCCCCCTCCCTGCCATCTCATGCTGTGTAAAGCTGCTGTGTAATTTAACTTGTAAATAATAAAGTCTAAGTGAAAATATGAGATGGCATCTCCACATCACTTTCTCTAGCTTACAAAGGTTCCCACAAGCTTTACTCCAAAACTACTTTATTATGGATATAAATAACGTGGAGAAGATGGAGCTGACGTCGTGTTCTGTGCATGTTCCGTTTCTTCACCCTAGCTCTTCGCGTGTCTTGCCTGTTTTCTTGGGCATTTTCTTGGCATGGGGGTCTTCTAGCTCCTTGGCTTTGTAATAGTGAGGTGCCACCTCCAGAAGCCAACTGCTCTCGATCTCCAATACCTAGAAGGGGAGAGAAACCAGCAGTGATCCCATCTTCCCTAGATTCCCACATGTGAGCTCAAAAAGGTTCTCCTGCCCTGGCCGGCTTGGCTCAGTGGGTAGAGCGCGTCCGCCTGTGGACTGAAGGGTCCCGGGTTCGATTCTGATCAAGGGCACGTGCCTGGGTTGCAGGCTTGATCCCCAGTGGGGGGCACGCAGGAGGCAGCCGATCAGTGTTTCTCTCTCATCAAGGTTTCTCTCTCTCCCTTCCTCTCTCAAATCAATAAAAAATATATTTAAAAAAGGTTCTTTCCCCTGTGGCTGCAGGAAGGCGCAGAGCTCTGCACTGCCGGCCTGAGGCGGGCACACCTCCACGTGTTACTCAGGCTCCCGAGTGGGCTCTCCCGAAGGCCTGCATGGGAACCGTAAAGCACGCTGGGGCCGAGGCCACACCTGCTTTGCTCACCGCCATCCCCAGCACCGGCATCCGGGACAACAGCCTTTCAAATGGTCATGGTGCGACGGTCAGATCTCCGAGACCTGAGTCAGCTGTCAGGAAGGGCACCTTTCCAGCTCACCCCTCCTTAAACCACTGGTTTCCCTGTTCCTCTGCCAGGCCCAGCGACTCGAACCTGGGCTTCGCTGGCCAGAGTACCACTCGTCGCTACAACCTCCACCTTCCAGGGCAGGGGGTGGAACCCTCACCTGTCGCATGAACTCCTTGGTGGTCAAAACAAGCTCATGGTAGAGCAGCCAGCGAGGCTGTTCCTCAAAGAGGGAGGAGTTGGGGTGAATGAACACTGTCTGCTGCTGTTTCACTGTGCGGTAGCCGCTGCGAGTCAACCGTGCTGTGTGGTAAAAGTAACCGGCAGTGACGGCCTAAGGAGCAGCCAGGAGAGACCCTCAATGGGAAGGCCAGACCCCAGGGGCCCTCAGCCCTCGCCCCCTTTTCAGTGTTAGTTCTGGCTGCTGGAGAACTAGGAAGGGAAGGGTGCGTGCAGAGCCCCGGGAGGAGATGGACCTTCCCCAGCTCAGGCGGGAGGGCTGCCCAGGCCTGGGGAAGCGGGCCCCTCGGAGCCCGGGGGCCGCGGGAGGAACGCTGACCTTGCGGACACGGATATAGTCCCCCTGGCAGGAACTGAGGCCAACTTCCACCCGCTCCAAGAGCCCCTCCAGCTGCTCTCGCACATCCCGGGCTCGGCGCATCGATCGGAACTGGACGAAGTTCTCATAGCACCACTGGGAAGAGTAACCACTCTCAGCCCACTGCGGAGAGGGTGAAGAAGGGGTGAGTGTACATAGGACCAGAGGCTCCCATGTCCCCCTCCTTCCCACTCCCGAGCCCAGCGACCTGCGTGTACACGTTTAGCAGAACCAGGTGGTCCCCGCCAGGGAGGAAGAAGTTGACGCGGGCGTTGTCCGCGTGGACGACTTTGTCCTTGGGCCGGTAGAAGATGGAGTTGTTGACAGACAGCATGGCAGCCACTGTCAGGATCTCCTCTGAGCAGCTGTACCTGGGCAGAAAGCGAAAAGGCTTGAGAGCTCAAAGCCAGATGGAGGGACAGACACGGGGAGTGACCGCTGTGTGGGCTTGTCCTCACACGGGGGCCGCCCACAGCACAGGGCAAGCATCCAGGTAGCTAGATCGGGGGGCAGTGCCAGCAGCTCGGGGCTGTGATGACATCTGCTGAGGAAGGATGGGCCGCTGAGGAGGCAGAGGCGAGGTGTGCGCTATGCATCAGGGAAAGACCGCTTCCTTCGGGCTCATGTGATGACCTCTGACCCAACCACGGCATTTAAAGGTGGTCCCTCCACAGCCACATCTAAATGCTCCAGTCTGAGCCTTAGGATGAGCAAGTCCCCAGACCAGCCCTCACTCAGCACTCCTCACAGATGGAAAGTCTTCCACTTCCCTTCATGCCCCCAAACGTCCTGTGTCAATCTTACCCATCTCACATCATGACCAAGCACAGCACGGGGGGCAGGAAGAGTTCTCTGATAACTTGTTATTTGTTACAGAAGAATATGATAGAGAGAAAAGGAGCAAAATGACAAAGATGGCCGGTGTGGCCAGTTTGTGGGTGGGGCCTGGCCGGATGGGGGCACTCACTTCTCAGAAGCCAGGATCATTTTAGATAGCATGGGGTCCACTGGCAGCTCTGCCATCTTTCTACCAGACTAAGGAGAGGAAAGAGAGAGGGTTGAGCTGGTCCTCCCTCAGGTGTCCCTGTCCTCCTGCCCAGCCCACAGCCTCCCCCTCACCGTGGTGAGCTCCCCAAGGTGGTTGAGGGCTCCCAGAGCATACAGCTGCTCCAACGCCAGCAGCAGGGTCTCATACGGGGGAGGGTCCAGGAAGTCAAAGTGCATGAGGTCATGGATCCCTGCAGAGAAGTGAGGGCAGAATAGAGTCCCTTCACTAGGACCAGTGACTCCAGCCCGGCCTCTCGGGAGGCCCGGGGACCCCAATCACCTAGGCCCGTGGTCGGCAAACCGTGGCGCACGAGCCACACGTGGCTCTTTGGCCCCTTGAGTGTGGCTCTGCCACAAAATACCATGCGCAGGCGCGCACATACAGCGCGATTGAAACTTCGTGGCCCATGCGCAGAAGTCGGTATTTTGTGGAAGAGCCACACTAGGGGCCAAAGAGCTGCATGTGGCTCGCAAGCCACGGTTTGCTGAGCGACAGTTTGCCGACCACTGACCCAGGCTCTTGAGCAGCAACACCACGTTGCCCAGGCTGGTCCGCTGGATCTCGGGCACCGTGGTTTCCTCCAGCTCGTGCTGATAGGCCCAGGCGGTGTACAGGCGGAAGCACTTCCCGGCCGCCACCCGGCCAGCCCGGCCCGCTCG